ATCTTTTTAAAAATTTTAATTAATTAATTAATTTTAAAAAAAGGAAGCCTCAAAAGGATCAGACTGATTTGAAAGTAATTTAAATGTATGCCAGCAGTAATCCTAAGGGGCACATCCACCCCAATGTTCATAGCAGCAATGTCCACAATAGGCAAACTATGGAAAGAGCCCAGGTGTCCACCAACAGATGAATGGAAAAAGAAGATGTGGTGTATATATATATACAATGGAACATTACTCCGCCATCAAAAATTGAAATTTTGCCATTTGCAATGACATGGATGGAACTGGAGAGTATTATGCTAAGCGAAATAAGTCAATTAGAGAAAGACAATTATCATATGATCTCACTGATACATGGAATCTAAGAAACAAAACAGAGAATCATAGGGGAAGAGAGGAAAAAATAAAACAAGATCAAACCAGAGAGGGAGACAAACCATAAGAGACTCTTAGTCATAGGAAACAAACTGAGGGTTGCTGGAGGGGAGGGGACTGGAGGGATGGGGTACTGGGTGATGGACATTAAGGAGGGCATGTGATGTAATGAGCACTGGTTATTATATAAGACTAATGAGTCACTGACCTCTACCTCTGAAACCAATAATACATTATATGTTAATTAATTGAATTTATTTACTTATTTATTTATTTTTAAAGATTTTCTTTATTTGTCAGAGAGAGAGCGTGTGCACAAGCAGAGGGAGAGACAGGCAGAGGGAGAAGCAGGCTCCCCGCTGAGCAGGGAGCCCGATGTGGGGCTCGATCCCGGGACCCCAGGATCATGACCTGAGCTGAAGGCAGATGCTTAACCGTCTGAGCCACCCAGGCATCCCTAATTAATTGAATTTAAATTTAAAAAACGTTTAGGGGCACCTGGGTGGCTCAGTCGTTAAGCGTCTGCCTTCGGCTCAGGTCATGATCTCAGGATCCTGGGATCGAGCCCCACATCGGGCTCCCTGCTCAGCGGGAAGCCTGCTTCTCCCTCTCCCACTCCCCCTGCTTATGTTCCCACTCTCTCTATCTCTCTCTCTCTGTCAAATAAATAAATAAAATCTTTAATAACAAAATAAATAAAATAAATTTTTAAATGTTTAAAAAATATAAATGAATGAATGAATGAATGAATGAATATATGCTGGAACAAAGCCCAATACCCTTCGAAGGAGTACAACTAAATCAAGCACTCAAAAAATATAAAATTCACAATGCCCATTAGCCAGCCAGTCAAAATTACCAGGCTTGCATATAAAATAAAAATACATAACCCAAAACTAAGAGAAAAATTAGTCTATAGAAACAGACTCAGAAATAACTGATGACGGAATTAGCAGCAAAGATTTTAAAGCAGCTATTACAAATACTGTATGTTCAAGGACATAAAGGAAAATATACACAAAATTAAGACAGAAATGGAATATTTAAAAGATCAAGCAACATCTACCTACCTGTCCTGGGGTCCATTCGGTCTGCCGGCTTAGGGAAGCCACGGTATCAATGGAGCTGAGATCCAGCTGCTGCAGCTCACTCTCATTAAGAGCCAGAGCAATGCGCCCCAGGGAGGTGATATGGTATTCTTTCCAGTAAGAAGGCATGTCCCAAACCTTCAAGTGAAAAAAAAATCCAGATTAGACTGACCATTACTAACAGTATTTTAAACAGACATAGGGTAAATCTCTTTAATATATGAAGTTCTCTTATAAATCAATAAGGAAAGGACTACAACTGTATATATATATGTGTGTATATATATGTGTATATATATATGTGTGTGTTTGTTTGTTTGTTTGTTTGTTTATTTATTTATTTATCACCGGAATTTATTGGTCTGATTTCTTGGCCCTCATCTTGACTTGGCCACACACAGGGTCCCTGGCCAGTGGACCAAGGTTTTGTCTAAGATGACAAGGACAACTCAGGGAATGTGGGGGAGAGTGATTTTATCTTCCTTATTGTAGTTTGAGGTTTTGATCTTTACTGGCTAAAGAGGCCATTTATCTTTGTAAGCACAAAACATTTTTGCTTTCTCCAGTTTTCTGCTAATGGTGAAAGAATAGAAGCAAATAAAGTTTTACTGATTTTTGAAAAAAAAAAAAGATATGAACAAGAAATTCACAAAAGAAGAAAGAGACATGGAAAAAAGTTCAATCTTGGTCATAATCTTTTAAGTTCTACATTAACAACAATCAAAGAATACCATGTTAGCTGATCATATTGATAAGGAATAAAAAGAATGATCATTTATGGTGTTGAAAAAATATGTGGTAAAGGATACTCTCATTTATTGATATTGAGAATATAAATCAGTACATAATTTTTGGAAGGGAATTTAGTTATGTGTATCAATAGCTTTTAAAATATTTATACACTTTGACCCCAAATTTCCACCTCTGGGAATTTAGCCTAAGTAAATAATGAGAGACAAATGTCCCCCAAAATATGTACAAAATATGTACCTTGAGGCATTAAAAAAATATAAGCAACCTAAAAGTCTACCAACTTGCTAAATAAATAAGGACCAGAAAAAAAAGGACCAACCATAATATGAAATATTATATAACTATTTAAAACGCTGATATAAATTTATATTTCTGATATGGAAAATATGCATTTATACTGTTGGGTGTTGACAGCAAGTTATTGAATAGTGGGTGAGCATGATATTATTTTTTTCTAACATATATGTGTGAGTATACATGAAATATATAAATACATTTTATACACATACACAGAAGTCTGGGGAGCTTCAGGTGACTATACCAAAACAGTTAACAGTGCTTATCTCTGGGTAGAAGATTATGACGGATTTTCTTTTTTATTACTTGTCCAACTTTTCTACAATAAACTTGGGTCATTTATATAAAAAAGAGTTATAAATATAATTTTAAGGAACTTAATGTCAACCCCACAAGGATAACCAGATATTCTACAACTATCCAAATGGCTGAAACAAGCCACTCAAAGGGAACTTTATAAAGATGGAAAAAGACTTGTAGTCTCCGTGTTACTCCTTCCTGGTATGTTTTCAGACAAATTTGCAATGGATTCTGAGAAAATCTGCTGTAAGCAGCAACTGAGGTTCTCCAAGGGGAGAAAGAAAAGGCACCATTCCTGGAAACCGTCTCAGAAGCACCAGAACACCCACAGAACTTTCTACTGAGTGTCCATGAGATGCCAAGACACATCTCTGTTCTGTGCTACAGCCCTGAGAGGGAGGAACTAGAAATTTCTCGGATGTGGAGTGCACGCCTACGGCACCGAGTTGACACAGAGAAATTACAATGGCACAACGCACGTGAAAACTCCCTGAGGTGGGTTCTACACACAGAAGTGCTGGGACCGTTATGCTGGGGCTTCCCTCTCTTGCAAACTCCCTCCCTGAGGTGGGCTTTACCTGCACTGCCTTCTCCTTTAGGGTCATCAGCTGAGGGGGGCTGAAACCCCTGACGGCCCCCAGAAGCTCCACGTTCCTGATGAACGTGTGTTCCTCCATGCAGAGCAGGTCCTGGGGGGCCCAGCAGGCATTGGCTTCCGCCAACTTGAAGATGTCACCAGAAGAAGGAGCCATGACTCCATGGCAACCTCAAGAACGGGGAGGAACAGAGGAAAGAGAGCTTCAGGGAATGTTAGTCTTTATTGAAATGAGCAATCTCCTTGTCCGGGTGGATTTATTCACGAGAGGCAGCGTAGCATAGACACTGAGAGCAGGGACGCGGGGAGCAGCTTGAATCCCGCTTCGGCCACTTCTTGCTAATTATCTGGTAACAAAATCACGGAAATGCCAACTTTTTGCACAGCCACATGCACACAGTAGGAGCTCTGTGACATTACAGTGGGGCTCCAAATTGCCTGGAGGACAGTGGGAGCTGGTGGTGAACAGTTCTGGCTTCAGATTCAAATCCAAAACTATTTAACCCCTCTCTGCCTCAGTTCCCTCGTCAGTAAAATGAGGATAAAATTATCTCATCAGATTTTTGGAAGGATTAAATGTATTATATATGAAGCACTTAGAACGATGCTAGGTATACAGTAAGCACTCAGTACTTGTAAGCTATTTTTATTAGTTCTATTACCAGCAGCTGCCACCTCGCATTTGTTTGCAACCCAGAGTTAAGGCTTCCAGAATTACGAGGAAGAAACAGTCCTATTTAAGTGTGGTTAAGGGTGGGATGCCTGGGTGGCTCAGTGGGTTAAGCGTCTGCCTTCGGCTCACGTCATGATCTCAGGGTCCTGGGATCGAGTCCCACACTGGACTCCCTGCTTCTCTCTCTGCCTGCCACTCCCCGCTTGTGTGTGCGTGCTTGCGCCCGTTCTCTCCCTCAAATAAATAAATAGAATCTTTAAGTGTGGGAAGGAAGAACGATTTGCCATCATGGAGGCTATGGTCTTCCCACTTTCTGGGAAAGAGGAGAAATGGGCCTCTTGCATTTTCCTTTGCAACAGGAGAAAACCCATCCATTTCAGTCTTTGACTAAGTTGAACATCACCTGGTCAAACCAGTTAACATCATCAACACACAAATGAGATATTTCTCCCCAATGTGCTCAACCTGGGAGAAAACCCAAGGCTCCTTTTCTTTTCTTTTTTTAATTCATTTATTTGAGAGAGATGTATAGAGAGAGCAAGCACCGAGGAAGAGTGAGAAGGAGAAGCAGACTCCCCACTGAGCAGAGAGCCAGATGTGGGGCTCGATCCCAGGACCCTGGGATCATGACCTAAGCCAAAGGCAGACGCTAAACCAACTGAGCCACCCAGATGCTCCCCCAAGGCTCCTTGTCTGAAGAACAATCCTGGCTTTCCTGTCTTAGCAGCCGTCCACCTCTGAGGCTCACAGACTCACCAGCACCACCTGAGCCAGAACATTCCCAAGCCCTGTGGCCACTCCGTTCTCACTGCCTCTCAATGGCAACTCATTGGACTCCAGTCAAGAGGTGAAAGTGGACCAGACTGAGGTTGCCACGTGTGGTCCTCAAGCATCTTTACCACAAAAGACACATCCTTCCTAGACTCCCCCACTCCACCCCCACTTTCCAATGACAACAGGATCCAGTGATAGTACAGAATTAGAGAGGAACAAAATGGTTATACCGTGTGGCGGGGACTTGGTCTTATCCTGCTGTGGTCCCTGCCTGGCATACAGTAGGTGTTTAGCAAATATTGGTTGAGTGAATCAACACACAAATTAACTAAAATGAAACCAACTAGTAATTCTGCTATGCCATTAATTACTATAAGCACAGCAATAATGAATATCCAGAACCATGGAAGAAAACTCCGATGATGCAGTCCTAACAGAGGGTCCTCCCCTGAGTGTGGCGAGTCTTACTTTTGCGTGCCCGCACGCACGGAGCAGGTGGGCTGCCATGTGACAAGTGACTGCTGGGCTGTGAGAGCAGGAGGAGCTAATGGCGATCGCCACCAGCTCTGGGCACAGATCCAAGAGCTGCCATTGCTCACTTCTTGACTTTGGCTAAGTCTCTTAATCTCTCTCTAAAGCTCAGTTTCCCGTGTCAAGGAAAGGGAAGCAAGCACAGCACCCACATCACAGGACAGGGGTGCACGGAGAGAGGACCACCCGAGATAAACATAAATCAGATCATGACACTTCTTTGCTTGGTGCCTCCATGAGACCCCAACCCAAAGACAAAGACAAAGTCCTTAGGGCTTCCTTTATAAGGCCCTATGTGGCCTTGTCTCTCGTGCACTCCAGTCACACTGGCCTCTCATGTCCCATTCCTTTCTGTTCCTGTTACACTTCCATTTGCCTGGAAGACTGCAACGCCACATGTCCAAGCAGCCCACGCTCACGATCCCCAGGGCTTTCCCAAAATGTCCCCTTCTCAGTGAAACCTACCTCACGGTTCTCTTTGCAAATTATAACCTCCCACCCCCCACTCCCTGACCCCTTCCTTGCCTTGCTTTATTTTCCTTCTTGGCACTTACCATACCCCAAAATACTATGTCTTTTACTTACTGTGTGTGTGATTCATTGTCGGGCACCCACCCCCACGGCCCAGCCCCTTGAAAGTAAGTCCTCTGAGGACAGGGATTTTTGTCTGTTTTGTCCACACAGTCGGTGCTCAATAATTATTTTTTGCAAGAAAGCAAGCAAGCACTGACTGCCAGCTATTCTTATTACAATTATGATTGGGTCTGATTAACCTTGTCCCCTCCTGCTTGGTACAAGTCTGTGCTCAGTGGGTGCACAAAAATCATAAAAAGAGCTAACACCTATGGAACATTTCCTACATTGCCCGGCACTGTTGTGAACACCTTTACAGGTTTCAATCCACTAACCCTCATAACAACCTAAGGAGATCGGGACTTTCATTCTCCCCATCTTACAGAGGATGAACACAGAGGCACAGAGAGGTAAAGGGCTTACCCAAAGTCCCACAGCCAGTAAGCAACAGACCCAGGGTTCACAGCCTGGCCCCAGCACTGCAATACACCGTCACTCAGCCATTTACACCCTTTAAGTCAATTCTTTTGAAATGTTTGTTGCCACGTGATCACCATTTGACTGGCCTGGGTAAGGAGCATAAGACGTGATTCCAAATCACTTTACTACAGGGGTCATTCTTTGGCCTGTGGCTTTTTGCCATGATGCTTTGCCAACATTGCATCCAATCCCCTGGACAAAGGAGGCCTCTGGATGCCAGGGACTGAGGCCAAACACCTGCTACTCAGCTCCAGCTGGGACACCCCGGAAACACTCACCGGGGCTGGGGGCAGAGCTGGGGCTCTTCTCACTGCTGTTCCGGACAGAGTCAAAGACAGCGCAGAGGAATTCTTCGGGGGGCAAGGCCCCAGCTATCTCAGAAGCTGTCTGCTGAAGGATATCCGGAAACTGTGTGCAGGAAAGAAGAGGAAGGAGGAGAAACAAATAATAATTAAACACAGATTTACACCATGATACTACTTACTCCCTCCCTCGGGGGTTGTGTTTTTTCTATAGCAGCTTCTTACATAATTGCATCCCCTAGCTCAACTAACTTGGTCTCTACAAAGAATCATACAAAATAATACTTAACCCCATTAGCAATCCACTAAATGTTCAATACCACAAGTATATATTGTTTTTCACCCATCTGATTACCAAAAATAAAAGAAAGTGAGAATACCTAAAAATAAGATGAAGTGATAACACTTTATGTTGAGCAAAATGCAGTAAATATGCACACTAATTCTTCTATGGGACTGTTGAATGGTACAGAATTACCGGAGCAACCTGATAAGATCTATAAAAAATGTAGGGGATCCTACCCCGTTTTGGTCTGGTATTGTTTTTAAATTTTTATTAAACTTTACATTCATCATAAAAAGGAGAAAGAGAGGGGGCGCCTGGGTGGCTCAGTGGGTTGAGTGTCCGACTCTTGATTTTGGCTCAGGTTGTGATCTCGTGGTTGTGGGACTGGGCTCCGTGCTCAGTGGGGAGTCTGCTTGAGATTTTCTCTCTCTCTCTCCCTCTCCCTCTGCCCCTACCCTCCTTCCTCATGCTCTTTTTCTCTCTCTCTTTCAAATAATTAAATAAATCTTTTTTTTTTTTTTTTTTTAAGTAGAAAGAGAGGATGGTTTCTAATTCTGAGTGGAGACTAGCAACGAGGGAGCTTCCAGTTGCCCTGGAGAAGGTGCCATTTCTCATCTAGAACCAGTGTGATTTGTCAAGACCCAGGATATTATTGGTAGGCCCGACAATGAGTCCAGAGCATTTATCACACTCTCTCACACAGCTATGCATCACTGGGTCCCACTCTGTCCAAAGAGAAAGCCCCTCAGGTTATAATAGCTCCTCTTTCAATTCTAACCTTCAGAATTAGTGTCCCACTCTAAACCAGTTGTTCCCCATCCTGACTGTAGGTGACAATCACCTGGGAAACCTCCGGACACCAGGCCCCACCCCAAAGATTCTAAGACCATTGGTCTGGGGTGGGGGCCATGTAGGTGTCCTTTTAGAATCTCTCCAGTGATTGTCATGTGCAGCTATGGTCACAAGCAACTCACAAGAGACATAGTTAACTTTTAAAAAGCAAAATGCACAGCAGAGTGAATGGTATTTTCCATTCTGTATTTTTAAAGGTAAGAACATATATAAGTAGGAGGAGGATTTTCCTGAAAGGATGCAGAAGAATCTGGGAGGAGTGATCACCTCTGGGGAGACAGGCTGGGGACCTAGAAATGGCGGTGGAGGAGAAACTTGCTGTCATCCTGTAGCTTTTGGTATAGTTGAAATGTCTTAACCAGGAGCATGTATTACTTGTCTTATTAAATATTTCAGTCATTAAAAAAAGTAGAATAATACAACACAACAGCCATGCACCCACACCTAACTTAAGAAATAAAAGATCACAAATATAGTTGATTGGTCCTTCCCTCCGTCTTTGGTGTCCTTCCTTCCCCAGAAGTAACCAGCACCCTGAATTTGGCATTAACCATTCTCATGCACTTCTAAACTTGACTTACATCTAGAACTGTTTTTGCATGTGCTTAAAATTAATGTAACTATTTTCATGATAAAAAAAAAAACCCACCACCATTAAAGCATTTTCATAGTGAAAAAAATTTTTAATTTAACTAATATTTGCTCATTTATTTAGTATCCTACTATATGTACTCTTTTGCAACTCACCTTTTTTAACCCTGCGCTGTTTCTGAGATTTAACCGTATTGAGATAAAGCTTTTTCAATTTCAAAAGTTGATCTTTAGAAGATTAGATAAGTATATAATATACATGCATCTGCTACTTATGACCATATGGACACCCCAGATGATGATTTTACCATGCCTGGACACTGGAATGTACGCTGTGTGTGAACCTGGGTGACACGCTCTGTGTTCAGGTTCTGCTGAGCACGTGTGACAATGTACATCTTGCACGTGCACGTATGGGGATGAGAGTGTGTGGATGTGCCTTGCAGTCCATCTGAGTCTCGTCCAGCAAATACCTACTCCCTCCCCACTCTCCACTTCTTTTTTTTTTTTTTTAAAGATTTTATTTATTTATTTGAGAGAGAG